TTTTTCAGATTTAATGTTTAAAAGCCATTTCAAGGTGTTTTGTTTTGTTTTTTTTATGCACAGCAGAACAGGCTAATCAAATAATAGTACAAGCAGCGAGATGTAACACTGAGAAGCATGGAAGAAAATAACTTCCTTTCAAATCTCCTTCCCAACAGAAGTTGGGGGGAAATCAAAAACGGTAGTTCTCTGATGGGACATGATGAATTAAAATTTGCTACACTACTGAAATGCATATCAAAATATTCTCAAGTGCAAACTAAAAAGAACTATCAATGGAGAAAGCTAGGCATAAAACATGAACTCCTTTTAACTGTGTTGCTCCTCTAAGTAGCTGAAAAAAATTCACCTCTTCCTTAAAAGAGTTGAAAACCTGCATAGAAGCCTGCTTCATTATTTTATAAAAGGGATGCTAAGAAATGATGGCAAAAAACAAAAAACAAAATTGGCAGTAAGATGGATAATATTCCAACAGTGCAGTCACATTAGAGGCTAAGTTTTCAGACCGGTTGTTATCATAAAGTGCATATATCTTCATGTGCAAAATCTTACACAGAGAAACTGGGTCCTTTCTTGTCTACTAGTCTGCTTGTAAAAGAGTATTTGTCAGTAATGGTGTACCAATGTCAAAAGAATTTATTCCTCATGTGCCGGTTTTCAGGAACATTATGGACCCAGAAGCCCATAAATAGATATTTCAAATCAGATTAGAGTTGTAATCAAATGAACAATCTCTTATCTGGTAGATAAAAGTATGTGTAAAGAGTTTCACTTTGACCTCTTTCCACCTACACATGCTCAATTTTTAATGAAACTGCAAAAACAAAATATGGAACTAGGTATGCATAAACCTTGAAGACCCTAGTTTTAGATGGCTGAACCAGATTCTGTGATCCTGCAGTAGTAAAAATGAAGATTCAGTAGTAGATGCAACATGCCTACCAGCTTGGTAGGGATAAACCGAGATCAGGAAATCCTGCAGCAGCCATGCACCTTTTCCTCCATTTCTTCCATGGGAGCCTTGAATTTTAAGAGAGGTGGGTCACCACTTGCCATGGTGTAATAAACTGAAGTTCCATTAGATGTATAGGAAGGCGTCCTGGAACTAATCAGATGCTCTTTAGCTTCTCCTCCATTTTCCACTGAGTCTCCTACACTGCTACCAAAGTGTGTGCTGATGAAGGGGTGGTTGAGAAGCTTGGCTGCTGCTCGCTGCCGTTTCAGTTCCGAAAGGGTTTGGTGGCTCCTTTCTTTGTACTCATCCCAGATCTGATGAGAATCAGAGACCCCAGGGGTATTGTAGGGCAATGCTTGGCTTGGATCATTGTCCAGGGCTGAATGCATTATCCAAACATCTCCATTTGGAATAGAGTATTGGTAAGGGATGGAGGGCAGGCTGAGTCCATTCTGAAGCAGATTTTCTGAATCGCACTGTGTTCCTTTGGTTACCAACTCTGGAAGGATTATAGCTGTATCAGTTGTCAAGTTCTGAAACAGAAAAATACATATGAAGGGTAGCTTTGCCCTTCCATCTACAACAGTTTACCCATGCTGACTGATTTTCTTGCATTATACAATCAACCCCTTGTCCTCTACTACATAGGTATCCAATCTGAGGGCTCAGGACCACATGAGAAACCCCAAAACCTTTGGTGTGGTTTCCAGAGACCCCCGAAAGTTCTTATCTAATTGCATTTTTTAATGAGAGGAAAAATATTACATTATTTGACTGGAAGGTAATCACATTAATCAAATATAATTTTTTCCTTGCCCCACTCATAATGCCCCCACCACACCACTCAAAGACTAAATACCACCCAGAAGAAACTGCAGTTCTGCTATATGTTAAACTAATATGTGGCTTTTTTTTTTCCACTGAAAGGATCCTATAAAGAATAATTTTTCTCTTAAGCACAGTGAGGGGCCAGTAATTATATCCACATAAGACTGAGAGGGAAATATAGAAGATTGCATAATAGAGCATGTATGCTTTGGTCAACATGAGTTTTAGTTATGCAACTGATATTTCTATAAGACTCACATAGTTTCCTGATTGGAAATGCTTTAATATGAACAGAAGAATTTAATAATTATTAGTTTTGTTTTTCCTTACTGGATCTGTGTTCTCTTGGTTAGAGGAAGCCTCCCGAATGTCACTATTGTAATCAGAAGTTCTTTGCTCTTCAGAAGATTCTATTTGCTGCCAGATGATGGCCTCCTTCTCATATTCCTTCCTATAAAGGTTTGTTCGATCTGAAAGGCTTGCCCTCCGGACCACTTTTCTAGGACAAGATATAAAGAGAAGAGAAGACTTACTAAAATGCTGACTTGCTGGAATGGAATGGACATTTTTCTATAGCTGCATTCCCAGCTGCACTATTCTGAAGAAGGAAAGACTGTATACCTGAGCAGAAATAGACCAGTTTTCTAACACCAGGTGGTACTCATGAGTCATTCTCTTTATTTATTCAAAGGTAGATTGTCAACCATCACGGAACTGAAGTTCATGGATGAATCCTCATTCATCCATAACACATACCAAATCACTCCCTTACTTTAAGTGAAAACCATTTCTGTTATATATACTAGGTTTAGACTTTTTCAGCCAGCTATTTAATCACGTAAATATAATGTCAACCTGAAAATTGTTGCTCTATATATTATGAAGCCTGCACTTGCTTTTATCACATATTACTGTACAAAATACTAAATACATGACACCTGTGCACACACACATATGCAAACACTAAGAGAGCTTTTTGGACTGTAAGGTTAGTTTTCATCACAATTTGTATCGGATAACGTTTCTTGAGCATTTAAATATTGCACAACTTTTAAATTATTCAAATATGAACCTTTTTTTTTTTTGGTGCCTTTGAGTCAGCATTGACTCCTGGTGACTGCCTGGACTAGTCCCTGCAGTTTTCTTGGCAAGGTTTTTCAGAAGTGGTTTGCCATTGCCTGCTTCTTAGGGTTGAGAGAGATTGACCGGCCCAACATCACCCAGTTGGTTTTGTGCCTAAGGAGGGACTAGAACTCACAGTCTCCTAGTTTCTAGCCTGATGCCTTAACTGCTAGAATGCTCAAACTGGCTCTCTTACATATCATATGCCAGGGTATTAATTAGGCCAAGATCACACCTATATCCTAATTATGACTGGGGAATCTCCTGCTGTTTAATTTAATGAACTGTTCTTTTTATGGCTTTCCAAGATTTCAATCTGGTACTCCAGATGTAGTTGCAATTTGCAGCATCCCTCTTCATTGTCTATACTGGCTTGGGCAGTACTCTTGGTTTAAAATATCATCACATGTTCCTCTAGCTAATACAAAAGAAGGCACCCTCCTTTTGCCTATACTTGCCGCTATCTATTTTACACTGCATGAAACTCTATTTCCAGATTAATCAAAGTGAAAAGCAATTGGCTTAAATCAAGGATAGGTGACATCCTTGATTTAAGCCAATTGTTTTGGCAAATCAATAGAACAAAAGTCAAGAGAGGACTTTTGTTTTGTTAGATTATGAAAATGGTGGCTGGATTCAGCCCAGTACTTTGTTTATAAGTGAGTCTATCTGTCCAGAAAAAGGACAATAGTAAGGTAGAGTGATACAGAACTACAGGACATAATATGGATTTCCCATCTTGGAAAAGAGTATGACTGGCCATGTCCATGGTAATGGCTATTTTGTGAGGTGTCGACAGCACATTCCCAAATTTCCAAATGTATCCACCAGTTGAAAGGTTTGTTGATCCCAGCCTTATGAACAAACCAAATATAACCTATTTCAACTTAGCAATCTTTTGCCAGTATTCTTTTCAAAAAATTTTTGAATGCCATCATACATGACAACATATGTTGAACTGCTGTATTGTTTCTTTCCTTCATCCACCAAATGAGTGCACAATTTTCCAACGTAAGGTCAGGACACCAATTAATAGTGACCAAAGAGAGTGAAAGAGAGTAGAGTGAAAATATGACTTTTAAAGTCTATCTGAAATATGGACCTGGTATTTTAAAAATCCTATTTGCTTCAGATGAAACATACAGAAAGATAGTAGTGGTTTGTGGGGAAAGTGTACCTTAGTACAAAATGTTCTGTTAGAATTTCTGCTCAGAATTAGATGGTCATGGTGAAATTCAACTTCAAGAAGTTCTACCTGCACTTTAGAAAAAGATTATACAGTCCAGACTGACTGACTGACAAACAATAGATTTCTACCAAATTTGTTTTTTTCCCACTCACTCACCCTCTGCTTCCAGTGCTGGATGTTCTCCTGTTCAAGGAGGATTTGTGTCTCATCTGAGACTTCATGATGACATCATGTTTATGCTTCAACTCTAAGAGCAGAACCTTAAACTCTTCTTCTTCACACAGATCTAAAGGAACACAAATCAAATCCGTTAACTGAATTGTTCAGTGATGATAAAACAGACACTAGCATGATAAGTAAATCCACTAGATTTACTAGAATATCCACTAGATATTCTACATGGTAGTAAATGGTACAGGATGGGGAAAAATAGGAGTCTTTCATATCTATATGGGTTTAAGAACCATACAGTTGACTGCAGATTTGCCTACTGTTATTTGAAGATCACTGTGGCTTAAGGCTACCGTATCTGAGCTATGTAAATCTGGATGATTGCAACAAAAAGTTAAAGAGGCTCTGTACCTCTTTGCTTACATCTAATGGTTGCCCAGATTTTTGCAGCCCTGAAAAACAACCTTACTGAAGATGCAGTAAAAAGCCAATCACTTCTGACATGCCTTCTGACCCTAAGGAAGGAAAGATTTGTTTCTGACTGTGTCTTCTGTTTCTATTTTTTTTAAAAAAATCTACTTAAATTTCAGTTTAAATATATACGTATGTATATATCGGGGGATGTTTTGTGCAACATACAGATTTCTAAACTTATATTTTCTTTGAATATATGCACTTAATTGCATTTAAATACATTTTTAATGTCAGGATTTGTATCACAAGACTTAGAGAATTGAAAAATCCAAGGGATATCTATATTCTGAAATATATATTTGCCCAGGAGGTACATCTGAAAACAAAACTGAATTCCTTAACCATCCATAGTCAGTCTATGAGCAAGTGAATGTGTGGGCTCTGATTTCAACTTAAGAAATATTAAACACATGAATAGCTTTTAGGGGAATCTGATAATTTTAGGATTACTAAAGAATTACTAAAAAGCTAATGCAATAGTTTTAGTCTTAAGTGATATGAAGACACAATCCAGACTAACTCAGAGCCTACCTCTCTTCATTCTTGATACAGAACACAGTTTTTCCCACACTCACAGGTATTCTAAGGAACATTTTCCCATACTTTACATAATAGCAATGCCTGAGAAATGAAACCAACATTTCACGTCTAACAAACTTCAAAAAGGATTCTGAAGGAATCCTTCTGCAGTATCTCATCAACACCACCTACATGCTTTACATGCTATTCATGAACATCATTTTACAAACTGACAACCTGTATTCCCAAACTCATTAACAATGTATGCTCTTTATGTAAAATGCCCTTTTCCAGGTTTGTTGTGGAAGCTATGACCAATTTAAGGATACTAGGACAGAGCAAGCTAAGAGAGCAATTCCTAAAAGAGAACCAAGAAATTTTGAATTTTGTTATGCTGACAAAGCTTTGGCTAAGAATAGAAATGGCGGAAATTCACCTATTGGCATCTCATCCATAGCTGTTCGCGCACTCAAGCTTGCCCCATGGGACACTAAGAGCTCTGCCATTTGCATCTGGAACAAAGAAAATGAAATTAAAATGTAATACTTTCCCACAGCATGACCCAAGTTTTATTTAAATTAATCTAGCACTAGAAGAAGATAATTGTTAGATTAGTCCATGGAATGTAGCCTCTCTAGGCTCTCTGTGTGAAGGGAGACCCCTAGGGTGATACACATTTTCAGTAACTATCTTAAAATTAAACTGAAGTGTGGGAGAGTGGGTGAACTTACTTTTTGAATGGGACTTTTTTTTTGTTTATCACATCTACTATCCCCTGATTCTGCACACATCATCATGGAACATATATCAGGAGACAGCGATGAGGCCCTTAATATAAAAAGGTTACACACTCATAAATCAAGACTGAAAAATATTTTAGTTCACTTTTTCCCAAGTAGTGCCTTTCAGAAATGTTGGGATTTAAACTTTCATAATTTCCTACTCAGCTTGGACAATGGTTGGCTCGGAATTCTGGGAGTTGTAATTCAATACCGCTGGAATACACTAGATAGAGCAAGACTAAGCTAAACTAGGAACATGGTTAATCTGATGCTCCAAGGAGAATCCACAAATAGGTAATGCAGACAAATTACTATCCCACTCTCAGCTCACCTGTTCTGCCCACAAGCCCTACCCCAGACTGGTATTCAATGACACACAGTTCTGAACAGATTCCATTTAGCTATACGGTTAGTATCTCTTGATAACCCTATTTTTCTTGAATTGGTCTAGCCTCATTTTAACTGGTCTGTTAATGAAACACATACATGTCCCCAGAAAGCAGCAGCATGGAGGGGTTCCCAGCCATCCCAGTCCTTGAGGTCCAGTCTTGCTCCCTGGTCTAGAAGAAGCTCTGCTGCATGCAGATAACCATTGGCTGCAGATATATGTAACTACAGCAAGGAAGGAAGGAAGAAGGTTTCAAATGTCTGTAATTCTCTGTAATATATGCATATGTATCTATGTCTACTCCCAAGTTTTTTATTTTTCATTTGTTTGTTTTTTTGTTTTTTTGCATATTCTCCTTTTTAATACTGATTTTGTCTTGTTTTGTCTTGATTCTTTCATAGGGGAAAAAGACTTACAGCTATCCTAGTATTTATTCTATGGGACCAGCATTACGCCTCGATTATCAATGGCTTGCTATAATGGTCAGCCTAGTTCCAGACGAGGAGAAGCTAGTGTTTAGTATAACTCCTGCTCTGACACTGACCTCATCAAATAAATGTGCATTATTTAACATATAATAATCAAGCATGTACTAATTAATGGGTATGATTCCTTGAGCCAATAGAGGGCTCTTTAGGAACAGGTGATACCTGCCTTAAAAATCTACATTGGCAGTCCAAAATTGAAATCTGTCATTAACGCCGTGCCTTGCTGTTCTGAGCCACCCAGACTTGTATTTTAAGATGGGCAGCCATGCAAGTCTTTTCAATAAATAAATAAAATAAAACGTCTTAGAGCCCAACTAAATGTGGGCAGGTTTTTTATACCTTTTGTTGCTTAAAGCCTTTGTGCAGCAGAAAGAGCCTGCTATTGTTGTCTCTTTTTTCACCTAAAAGATTCCTCTGAAGCTGCTTTTATCGGAAAATTAAAAACAGATGCCTTTTCTAGCTCTTTCCTCCCACCCCATCATGCCACAGGTAATAACAATTTTGGAGGAGACAAAAGCAATTTAAGTGTGTTAACTGGCTCTGAAGGAAAGGACTGGACTAATTTTTACTCCCCAAGCCCCTAGTGAGATGGCCTCACTCCTAATTACACAACTGCACCAGAGATTATTTTGGTGCTTATACATCATGATTTCAGCGCAGAAAAAAATATGAACATAAAACCCCTGGAGAAAGAGGCAAATACCTCTCTAGCCCAGCATCCTTGATATACAGCAGCCATTCAGAAAGCAAGAAAGAAAGAAGTTAAGGGCAACAGCTCTCTCCCATGATATTCCAGAGCAGTATTTATTTAAGCACACTACCTTTGATTCTGAACAAAACATAGCTGTCAAGCCCAGCAGTCTAAACTCCAGGAATTTCTCTTTGAAGCTGCCTAGAATGGTGGGCACCATTCACTCTAAGTAGTGAATTCTACAGTTTATGTGTAAAAACAAGATCTTTCATTGGCCTAAAATCCCCTACCTCATTTAGATTCAATGGATGAAGCTGAGAAAAACCCTTTTTTCCATGACGTGTGGTAATTTCTACTAGGTATTACTAACAGCCTAGTAACATTGTACAACAGTGTGTATTTCATTAGAACTGCAAACAATCATGTTATTCAAAAATCATGAATTGTCAGTTGGTGGCAGTACTTCTGAATACATAGGTCCACTCTTCTAAAGTCTTTGCATTGTTTCTGTTTTACACATTAAATTCCACATCATTATTTGCAATGTATTTTCTAGATCACTTAATGCAGAATTCACCATTAACAAGTTAATGAAAATATATGAAAAAATATATGATTATTTATTTTCCTTGCTCGGTTTTGGTATGGAATTTGCAATCCTGGTTTAATCTCTGACATATGCTATAGAGTAACATAGCAGAAGCTTTCACAGAACGTAGCATCTAATTTAGGATCAGTGACTCTAATAACCTTTTAGCCAGAAAAGCAGTTCTGTGGTAATCTGTACAGCTGAATGCAAAACTGAATGAATAAACAGATAAAACTATATGGCTAGTTTATTCAAATCTCCAGTTCTGAACTTAGCCTAGATTAATGATGATGCCATGAGATCACTGTAGAATGTTAAGAATGTTTATATTATTGTTGTTGTTGAACAGACATAGGATTACAGAATGAATCTTTGGGGCAATCCGAAGGGGTAGGCATTGATTGCATTGTTATGTGCCGGATCATATAAATGCCAAAATATGGGGAATCCTATTTCTGCTACTGGACTGGCAGAGGACGCATGGGGAGTGATGTCCAGTTCAAATTAGGACCAAAGGTTTAAGTCCTTCTTTCCAATGCCACATTCTCAGCCAACTAATTTTCTTAATTTCTATGTAAAGGTAAACTGTATGAAAAACATTGTGTTTAATTCTATCTTCAGTGTACAAGTGCTCCTAGGGTTTGTTTTTATATACATAAAAAACACCGTTTGTTTTTTGCAATCCTTTGCAGCCCCACCAAATTTTAGTTTCTGCCATTGTGAGGCAGGAGACAAACAAATATAATAGCCAACACTCCCAAATCATAGTAAATCCCAGTCCCATCCATATATCTAACAAGTCTCCATATACATCACAGTCATCCAGAGGTTGTCTGCTCCCAAGTTAAAGGCAGCTATGAAGGTTCCAGATGGCCTAATGGAGAAGCAGCGTTTAAGCCCCATAGCATAAAAAAATAAATAAATAAAATAAACATTGGAACAAAAGCAAGGAGACTAAAACCAAGCAAACAAAGAAAAAAGCACTGTGTGTGGGAAGCAGAATTTGTTCATTTTTCTTGGGGGGGGGGGGGAATTCCCTGTCTTAAACTTTGGTCATTTCAGGGGCATGGATGTTAAAAAAAAATAATGAGTATCTTGAAGATCTGCAGATGCAGCTATATTCAGAGATGGTCAGTCTGTCCACCCGCTGTAGTAAAACAATGGGGACATGGCTCACCAGTGAAGCACCTTGGACATCCATTATGTTCAGATCCTCTCCTCTTACAATCATCTCTGCAATATCATCAACCATTGCCTGTTCAGGGGCGGCTCGCATCTCATTGATTTTCTCTTGTGTGATTCCTACAATGAAGAGAGGAAACGCATGATATAAAATTTCTGGAAATGTTAAAGCAAATGAAG